AGTAACAAGCTGTACAGGTTTGTAGCACAGAAGCAATAGGCTATACCATACAGCCTAGGTGTAGAGCAGCCACACCATCTAGGTTTGTGAAAGAACATTCTATGATGGTTGCATGATGATGAAATAACCTAGAGGTGCACTTGTTAGAATGTATCCCTGTCTTTAAGCAGGGTATGATTGTATTAGTTTAATTATGTCATCGTAAATCTCAGGTATCAGTGTGCAAATTTTGTTCTAGCATGGCTATTGAATATGAAACGTAAGACCCGAAAAATTCACTTAATAAATTTACTTAAAATTTACACCTTTTAATTTCAGAACAATTAGTGGGATATATGTATATAGTCAGGAACAACTTGCTAAGAAGAAATTTATTTCTTAATTAGAATTTTAACCAAAAAATTACTCATTTATTAATTTATCTTCCATATTGCAGATATTATTAGGACTCCAAGGTGGTATATATGATCTGGCCAAAGTAGAGAGGCAGTCATGCCTGGGAAGAAATTCATGAACCAGAGTCTTCAAGTATCTTAGAAGGGCTTGAACCACGTTAACATGACTAAGAACAAATGACCTGAATTACAGGTGTGCAAGAAGTACTTGCTGAAAAAGAATCCACTTTAAGATGAAAATGTTCAGAAATCATTGTGAAAACTTCTAAACTCTATTATTGACACACTTGAATTTTATGAAAGCAGATCTTAGTTTTGAAATAGTAAATGATTAGTACAAATAATGAGACAAACATTTCAAATTTTAAAAAATAATACAAGAGTACAAAGAAGGAAAAGCTATGGTTCAAAGTTTCCATAAAAAAGGCCTAAGAGTTTACATAACTAAAACTTAAATATAAAAAATAATACAATCTTAGGTAGTATAAATAGAAACATGGCATCTGAACACAGCAGGTTGATAGGTTTTATCAATTACTACACCACATCTGCAACACTAATATCTGACCTAAGTATGTCGTTTTAACTTCAAAAAAAGGTTAAGTTGGTCTTTCCAGAAGAAAAGCAAATTGGACAAAGGAGGGTTTTGAAACTGGTCAAATAAAAATTTCATTTGTTCATTCAATAAATATGCACTGAGTGCCCAGTAAAATGCCAGGTGCTCTTCTGGGGACTAGGGATTCAGTGTTGAACCAGCCAGGCAAAGTTCCTCATTTTCATCAAGCTAACATGCTAAAAAGGGAAGACAATTAAAGAAGCTGACAGGGGCAGCGCCTGTGGCTCAATATACCGCTGGTGGTAGGTTCAAACCCAGCCCTGGCTGAACTGCAACAAAAAAATAGCTGGGTGTTGTGGGGGGCGCCTATAGTCCCAGCTGCTCAGGAGGCTGAGGCAGAAGAATCGCCTAAGCCCAGGAGCTGGAGGTTGCTATGAGCTGTGATGCCACAGCACTCTACTGAGGGTAAGAAAGTGAGACTCTGTCTCTTTAAAAAAAAAAAAAAAGAGACACAGGTGGATTTTCTATCTGTCTGGACAATGTCAATAATCCCAAGCACTCAGAAAAAAAACAAAAAAAAAAAATACAGAAGCTGACAGAAACTGGACTGAAGGTCAAGAAACCTCAGTACTAACTCTAATTGATTACTGTCTAACCCTGTAACTATTTGTAATTCATTAACATTATTTGGTTCTTAGTTTCCTTAGCTACAAAAAAAAAAAAAACCAAACACATACACACACACACTTTTAAAGAAAAGCTGAAATAATAAAATCTCTTCCAAAGCTAAAATTATATAAAAAGTACCCTAAGAAGTAAAGAACTTTATTCAAATATTTGCAGGGCTACCTTGTAGAAGAATCAGAAGTGTCCCATAAAGCTCCAAAACAAAGAGGATCAATGATGGCTGGAAGTCACAGGGATATGACTCTATCTCGGTTGAAGAGAAAATTTTCAAATAATCAGCTCTTTCCAATATTTATCTGGTCTCCAAAATACAAAGTGGGCGTAAAGCTTTGAAACACAGATATCGTTTTACTTTTTTACAAAGTGAACTCCTTTGTTGCTACTTCTGCAGCAAGCTAAAGGCTCAGGTTTATCAGAGTCCCAAATCATCTGAGGCAATACAAATAAGGGACAATCCACTGAACATGCACAGTGGTTCTCAACTGGTGGAAATTCTTTCCACCAGGGGACATCCAGAAAATGTCTGGAGACTTCTGGGGTGTGAAAAGAGGGACTACTGGCATCTAGTGGGTGGAGGTCAGATATGTGGCTAAACATCTCACAAAGCATAAAACAGCCCTCTGCAACAAAGAAGTATCCAGTCCAAAATGTCAACAGTGCCAAAGTTGAGAAACTCTAACGTAATGTATGTTATCTCTAAATCATTTATTAGACAAATTCGCCTGTGTTTCCAGATTTTATGGCCATCTGTATTGAGTTCTTCATTAGGCATTTTCAAGCAAAAGCTTTAAGACTACTTTTGCTTGGAATCTCTGTAGGGGAAAAAATGCTGGGTCTATTTAGTTCATAAGCTTCCTTGGCATTAGTACTATGCTAGGCATATTTGTTATTTGCCAATTAACTCACCAAGTTAATAAAGGAGGAGATTTACCCTAAGATTTGCTCATTCTAAAAAATTATTCCACATTAAATTCGCTAATTATTTTCTCTGGCAAAAATATCAGCCAAAAATCTGTCCTTTAACCATTATGCACAAATTATACACACACACACAATTTCATATATACATACTCACATATAAATATGCAAATATAAACACCTTAAGAATGATTCTGAAAAACATATTGGTACTTTCAGAGAACTGGAAATAAAAATTAAATTTTTATCACAGGTGTCCTGGGACCAAAAAAAAGAAAATCCTCTCTAATTATAGCTTTTATAAAATAATGATCAGTATGATAAAAATGATCAGTATGATCAGCTACTTATTAGCTGATTCTGATAGCACTTAGAATCAGCTAATAGTAGGGCTACAAAGTAAAATAACTTGTAGATATAGACAATATCTTCAGACTACCAATTAGATTTTGCCCTTTTTCAAAATAATTTAGATTCTTTTTTTTCAGTCCATATGCATAAAACAGTGGGTAAACTGAATACAGAAGTTAAATAGGAAGTGAATAATAATTAACCTTCCACCAATTCCTATTACTGGAGGCCATTAATGTTTTACAAGAAAAGGTAGTAAATTTAAAAGAAATAGTTAAATGAAGTTCTAACTTCCCAGAAGATATTTAGAATGTATAAATAGGTCAAAAGATAATTTTTAAGTAATTTCAAGTAATTTTCTAAAAAATTTTTTAATGTTATCTAGTGAAATAACATTTAAATAGTTAATATTTATGTTTGCTTACAATTAACTTATTCCTATGTTGAATTTTTTTCAACTTATTTTAAAAAAGTACTTAGCATCATAAGAACGTAAACTAAAAAATAACTTTGTACTTTAAAGTTTATTTAATCAAGTATCATTGGCATAATCTTTGACCGCCATGATCTTTTGGCTATAATTTATTACACTAAATAATCCCAAAACACATGATACAGAAAAATTCTCTATCCGAACGTCTGAACAATCATTAGAAACAATTACTGACAAGTGAATGAGAGTGAATCACAACTGTATAAAACCAAACTATTTTATTGACTAAAGGAACTTAGAGAAAGGGTAGCATGCCAGGGAGGAAGCTGTTTAAATTATCTGCTAAGTGTGAAATGACAGTTTTAACAGATGAAACTAACAGGTGACATGCTATATCTTCATTTGAAATGACAAAATGTGACTACAATAGTAACTATACACAGAAAAGTCAAAGAAACTTTTTTGACTAAGGACTTTTCTGAGGTAGTTACAATGGGTCATACTTACAACCACAGAAGCCCACTGCCATGCAAAACAGTGACTGGTTGGCATCTGATCATGTGAGCGACAGCAGCCAATAAGAACAGAAAATAAGAAGCAGAAGACAAAGCACCACCAATCAATGTCAAGAGTTGCCATGTATATACTCTTGCTATACATAAATACCAAAGAAACAACTTACACGATGTGATAATTATCTATTTAAGTTGATTCCATGTGAGTTTTTTTTTATCCAGGGGTTTTGTTGGGTTTTTTTCTTGAGACAGTCTCACTCTGATGCCCAGGGTAGAGTGCTATGGTGTCAACCTAGCTCACAGCAACTTCAAACCCCTGGGTTCAAGTGATCCCCCTGCCTCAGCCTCCTGAGTGGCTGGGATGACAGGCGATCACCACAACACCCAGCTAATTTTTCTATTTTTAGCAGAGATGGGGTCTCACTCTTGCTCACATTGGTCTCGAAGGCCTGAGCTCAAGAGATCTTCCTGTCTCAGCCCCCCACAATGCTACGTTTATAGGCGTGAGCCACTACAACCAGCTCCATATGAGTTTTTAAATTCCACATTAAGAGTAATATGTTGGAATACCTAATTTGAAAATAATCTTCTTTTACTAAGTTTAGACACAGTTGAACTTCCAATATCAAAGTGCCTACCATTTTTAAACCCTGAAAGCATATTTGCTAAAATGTGAAATTTTTTTACTTTAAATAAAAATTCTAAATTTTATTCCTAATTTCCTATGTGTAATATTCAACATCCAAAAAGCTAAAATGTGCATTGTTAGTAACATTCACTTTAACCTAGAAGTCAGCTTCCCTTATTTATCCCCAGAAGGTTAGAAGCTAATCAAAATATTTTTAGTCATAAGTTGGAGGAAGAAGAAACTTTGAAAAGAAAAGGTGATATTCATTAAGACTTCATCAGCATTTTATGAAAAATTTTCTCTAAGAAAAAGAAGTTCAACTCACTGAAACAGTAGAAAACAAACATTAACTAGTATTCAACAATGTTGAATTAACTAGTATTCATACAACATAGTACAACATTTACAGGAGAAGAAGGACCCATTGGATTCTCTAATAAAAGCAGCAGTAATGGGATAAAGACACTAAAAATGTAATAGAAAGAAAGTGAGACCCAAAATTCACAAGTTCTCTTACCGGTGCCATTCGTATTGCTGGGTGTGCTCCACAGCCTTGTACTGCCTTATGCAGTGTTTCACCAAACATATTTCTAAGTTCAACTGAGTGACAATATACGGCATCAATCTTAGGCCACCAATCCAATGCAGACTGGAGGAAAAAAAAGACCATAAGGAAGAAAAAGTACAAAGTTATATGACTCTTATGCTCTGATTGCCCTTATGGTTTTGTTTTATTCTTGTTAGAAACTTTCTAAGATCATGCAAACAAACATCATGATTTCCAAAGTCTTCAAATGGTGTCTTTAATTCAAATACTAACCCATACATATTATATTTTAAAATATAATGAGCATAAGACAATTTGTCCACTTCACAAGCATATGTCTGTGAGACTCTCTGTTCTCACTGATAAGCTACTGAATTTGAAAAACAAAGTCCTTAGAGTTCATTGTATAAGCCAATCTTTTTGTTTTTTAAGTTTAATGTTTTGCACATTTGTAAAACACATGCATATATAACATTTCCCCCAGATAAGAATGCTATTATCACAGCTTTAAAAGAGATCAGTGGTCCAACACAATATTGAAAGAATATGTGGGAAACCATTACTTATATGCTTACAAACAACAATAATTGCAACATTAAATTTGCAAATGAGATAAAGCTATTAGTAAATCTATAATCTTAAATTGATATGCAAAGATGGCACAATACATGAGAGACTAACAATCACCATAAACAAAGACAAACTAATCCTAGCTAAGTATTTTATATACATATTTTCTATTTAAGTTTAACCAGTTCAGCTTTGATGTCTAGTTTTTAGTGTCTATTTTATTTGAAAGTGTCTAACTTTTACTTCAAAATCAATGAGCTGATATATTAGGAAAAAAATGACAATTATGAAAATCACTAACTCTATAAAGTTTGCCTATTAATACAAAAATGAATGGATGAATTTCACTACATACATACAGTATGCATAATACAGAACTTAAAATGTTTCCAATTTATAATAGTCTAAGAAACATCTGGAAGAACAACACAGAGTGTCCATAAAGTTTGTGTACAATATAAAATAGTTATTTTAAATAGTCCAAACATGAACTTTATGGACATCCTATATATTCAAATAGTAGATGAGAGGGTTTTAATAGCTATACATTCCTAGATTCTTTTTCATTCAAAACTAAGCTAATTAAAATCTCAACACTTAATGTCTGTCTTTATAATTCTCAGTATAGTTTGACTAGCATCAAGTTATATTATCCTAAACCAAAACTATGGATTACACACTCTATTTATTGGAAAGTAAAATAAAAAACCAATTTTTGATACCTAGTATGAATTTTTAAAACTCAACAATTTCTTTATTAAATCATTAACTGTGTACTTAATGAATTTATGGGGTACAATGTGCTGATTTTACATACAATTTGGAATGCTTACTTCAAACTGGTTACCATAGCCTTCACCTCACTTACTTAAGTATTGTGTTAAGACAGTGATACAATACATAGTTTGAATACGGAACTCCACTCAGAAAGAGATCCCAAAGCTAAGGAAAGAAATGTGTGTGTATATATATATGGGGGGGATATATATATATATATTTTTTTTTTTAATAGCATGGATGTTTATGCTTTTCCCTCAACTCTTTAAGCTAGTTACTATAAATGATCCCACATACTTTGTGCAATCTGATCATCTCATCTGCCCAAAGCAACCAATACAAACTTGATTTCCTTACATTTTAATATATTATATGGTTTAAGATAATATAACTTGATGCTATTTCCTTATATTTACTAAATTAGACAACTTGTATTCATCAGGTTAAAGTAACAAAAAGACAAACAATTGCAAAGTATATTGAGTGAAGGGCTCTCCTCATTTTAAAGACCTTATGAAATCTTGTCAGAAACTAATAAAGAGAAATACATCCCATATAACATCCTATCCAAATTACAGTGTCATTTCTGATAGCTTTTTTTTTTTTTGGAGCCAGAGCCTCAAGCTATCTTCCTGGGTCGAGTCCCGTGGCATCACAGCTCACAGCTCATAGCAACCTCCAACTCTTGGGCTCAAGTGAGTCTCCTGCCTCAGCCTCCCAAGTAGCTGGGACCACAGGCGCCCACCACAACACCTGGCTTTTTTTGGGTTGCAGCCATGATTGTTGTTTGGCAGGCCCATGCTGGATTTGAACCCGCCACCTTAGGTGTATGTGGCTAGCGCCTCAGCCACTTGAGCCACAGGCGCCAAGCCTCTGATAGCTCTTGAAACTGTATTATGATACCAGGTGTATCCTATAAATTAACTTTTTGCCTTAAGATTTAGTTATTTTAATAATTTTCGTTTTTCATAATACATTAATTCATTCATTTTAAAGTAAAAGATACATTTTCAAAAAGGTACTAAAAAATAGACACCTGGTAGTTAGTGAAAAATTTTAGTATTCTGAGCAGTTAAAAAATATGTCTTTTCTGAAAACCATTCAATTAAAGTATATTTATTCTTTTGTTTTGTTGAAAATACTGTTTATTGCCAAACAGCAATAATATAAGCAAATTATGTAGCAATTCCTCGAGATATTAAATAACCTTCAAATGCCTTGGAAATAATCCCTTCAACTACAACATCTCAGTAGAAAGAGACCATCTCATTCTCAATATATAAGCTATCCATAAGTAAACTACAATAAAATGCCGTAAGGAAAAAACTGAAATAAAGTACTATACCACCTACAGCATGTACCAGTGATGGTTAACTGGCTCATATATGTATATTACTTTTTAAATTTCCCAGTTATATATCTAATTTAATATCTATCTTAAGGAAGCATATAAAGATTGAGCATATGACACAGATCTTAAAACTGTAATGTGACTCTTATGGCATAGCATAGCAAAAAAGGTGACAGTGTTAAGTACCATTTTAGAAACTGCTAAAAACTTCCATTATATTAAAATTCAAATATACTTTAACACTTCCTAAGAAGAAACACTGGAATGTTTTTAGACTTAAATAGAGTACTTATCAACTGAGTATGAGTATGTTTTACAAAAGTAAAGTAACAGTCCAAAACCATTACTGCTTCTACATAAACCCTCCAAAACTCATCAGTAATACTTTTCCATTATTTAAGAATGTGGTAATTTTTTTAAATGTAAACTGGCTAAAAAAAACCTGGGAGAAGAGAACTTATGAGGTTCATTGAACCAAAAATCATTTTAAAAGGAATTTTAACACTATGAATGAATTTAAGATCAGGAGTCCTCTTAGAAAAATTTAATGTGATTTCAAGACATAAAATATTTCCATAATAAATGTCTTCAGTGAGATTGTGTAACAGTCAATCTCATAAATCTGCATATTTACTTTACAAATAGTCCTTTTTAGTCAAAAGTACTTCGGATTCATTGTCTATTAACCTCAAACTAAACAAAGGAAGAACCCTAAAAAGAAACAACTTACCAACCAATCTATAATGATTAAGTATCATTGGCTAAGGCATAATTTTAGAAGATGCTTTGACCTAATATAAGTATGTTCCTTCTCAAGCTGTTCCATTAAACACTTACTGATGCTTAATATTTAAAATCAGTCAATATCACTTTTCTTTGTAAAAACCAATTTTCATACTGACTTCACTTCTGAAACAAACTCCACCCTTCACACATGCAGTACTCATTAGAGAATAGGAGGATGCACAACCACTTCCACCAAGTACACTGAGGCATGCATGAAGTACCACTCCAGGCATGCTTGAAACCCAGAAAGAAGCAGCTCAGCCACTTACAGCAGTGCCAAGTCCATGCTTGAAAGTGCTCTATATATTCAATTATAGACAAAAATATTTCACAATTAAAGTAACTAGCCACAAAGTATCAAAAAGTATATTTTTGGCTTTATTAAATACAAATTTTAAGCATTTATGAAAAACTATCCACTCTAATAAATGGAATACATAAGACAAAGAGGAAACAATAATATTTCTGAATTACACATAAACCTGTGTAATTTTTTTTTTTTTTGATGGCCTCAAAAGTAAACCCTGAACCCACAATCTCCTGGCTCATTACACTGGCAAAAGTACAATAATTTTTTTAAAAAGTTTTTAATACAAACATACCTTATTTACAATCATACTGATTAAACTTTTCCTTTGGGAATAAAGAAAATTCAATGTTACTTCTATCTATATTTTAACTCAAGTGATCCTCAACTAAGGGATGTTATCATTGCCTCAGGCATTTGTTTGTCCGCTTATTTTTAATTCAACAGACTTACATGGCACAAGTTTTCTTTTTCTGTTACATACATGAATTGTACAATGCTGAAGTCAAGGCTTCCAGTGTTACCTGTCACCAGAGTAGTGCACATTGTACCTGACAGGTAGATTTTTCATCATTTATAGTGATTGGGGGTAGAGGGATGGAGCAAAACTGGCATTTAATGAAATGTAGTCCAGAAATGCTCACTGTCCTGCAATGTACAAGGCACAACAAAGAACTGCTCTCCAAAAATGCTACTAACACCCTGTTGAGAAAAACTCTTTTAAATGTTTTACTAAATAGCTTTCAGCAGTTATTTTTCCACTGCAGAAATTGATAAAATATGGGCAGCGTTTATTTTAATATATTCAAGGCAAATAGGAGACATTTTCAACTCACTAGCAATGGTTTTAAATAGAATTTGATTAAAAACAGGAAAATATACTAAGTTATCAATGATTAACACTCCTGGCTAGATGTGGTAGCTCATGCCTATAATCCTAGGTCTCTGGGAGGCCCAGGAAGATGGATTGCTTGAGCTCAACAGTTCAAGACCAACCTGAGTAGAGAGAGAGAGAGACCTCATCTCAAAAAATTAAAATAATGATCAACACTCCTTTTATGGGAGGAAAACAGGAAAAAGTTATCGAATTTACATATAATTGTGAATGTCTATCAATGATAAATGTGGAACTGTAGAAACCTGACAACCTTCAAAACATGGTCATTCGTAATGTTTACAATTAGAACAGAATTTAAAAATCTACAGTCCTAATCTGATAAGGTTTTGCTATCTTTCTATTTAAGGTAACCACATCAGAACTGAAGGTTTTGCAAGTATCTTTTAATGAGCTAACTTATTTTGTCTGGTAAGTTTTTATATCTTGTGAATGCCTCTTTTTAAGTGTGTTAATGTTTCATTTTGTTCTAGGAGAACTGAAAGGTACAGATATGGTCTCATCACTTTGTAAATGGACTACAAAGTGATGATTTTGGACTGCAACATAACTTTTATACCTTTTAACTTACATGGCAAGGTAACAAATTAATGTATCAAATGCTGTGAAAGAGCTAAGAGTGTTCAAGTAATATATGATGATTTAAAATTATTAAATTATGTTTTCAGTGGCATTATTCTCAAAGATGCCTATTTAAATAACATATTTTAGGCTTTGTATTTCCAAAAAATCTTATCAACTCCAGCTTTCTCAATAGGTCCCTCGGGTCAAGACTGACTATGAGAAATATAAATGTGTCTTAATTACCAGAGATAACCACGTGGGAGAAATGTTCCTATAACATCTAAATTTTCCTTAAAAAAACACACAAAGAAAGAAAAAGAATTTTTAGTAATTTAGCAATACCTTTTGGACTTACATTGGTGATGATTCGATGGAGCGAATTTACCAACACATAGTGAAATGTAGAAGGTGAATTCTGAGCCAGGCAGATCTACAGAGGAAAGAAAAGGCAGTAGATTATTATTCACTAACACATAGGAAGACAAAAAGAACAGCAAAGTTTTTAAAATATAAAATTTTCAAAGTCTTGAAACTAACATCAAATATATAATATTGATAACTATTGATAAGAGTATCTCTCTAGCCTTTTTACATTTATAAAGGATAACAGCATCAGTAAACACAGTTGGATAAAAACCAATGCTCTCACCTTAAAGTGCTGGTTGTTGTGAGGACTTATACGAAAGCAAGAAACAAGGCAGTCAATCATCAGATCCACATCTGCAGGCTGACTACCTCTTGAGAATGGTTTACTTGGATTAAAAAGTAGATTCTATAAAAAAATGCCAACAGAAAACAAAAGCCTTTAAATAGCAATACAGCATTTCTTTACTAATATGAAACTAACACCAACACATTACCTAGATACCCAAGTCTGTACACAATGCTAACTTAACAAAACTGGCTAATTCTGTGTCTTCTTTATATTCTCTGTCCACCTAGGCTAATGAACACAGTAATGACAAAAGCAGGTCCTATGAACTTCTTATCTATCAAAGATGATTCAGAACGTTAGTGTTAGCAATGATCACTGACATAATACTTAAACTAGAAAGTTACTTTGCTTTTAGTTTTCTTAAAGTTTATAGTAGAAAAATGATAAGCAAATTACCTTGAGATCAACCACCATGGACTGAACTAGCAGGAAAATGACAGAGTTATCTTCCCAGTTGATGTAAGTACTGGCTTTACAGAGTTTAACACAGGCAATTGCAGCACTTTCTGTCAGTTGCCTACTTCCTCCATGACCAGCAAGTGCTTTGCGCAGACTGTCCAGAAACAACTTCTACAGAATTTAAATACAGCAACTGAGTTAACATGAAATTTCTTCTATTTCAGATTTATATAATATAATAACAAATCAACAGCTTCTAAAACTCATACTATAAAGAATAAATAACGTATATTTGTGGTTTTCAATTTCATAATTGAAGTAGTTATCATTTAAACGTTTCTGAAATCCGAAAAACCAGCCTCTGTTCTCTGCTTGCTTTATTGAATTATTAAAGCAGTATAAGAAGCAGTCCTGGGTGGTGCCTGTAGCTCAGTGAGTGCCGACTATATACACCGAGGCTGGTGGGTTCGAGCTGAGCAATAATGACAACCAAAAAATAACCAGGTGTTCTGGCAGG